ATCCATCCATCCATCCATCCATCCACTCACTCAGACATTTAGACATCAGTCCACTCTCTCATCCAGCCGGCCATCCATCCATCCGCTCACTCATCGATTTCTATATTCATCAACTCTCTCATCCATCCATCCACTCACTCCTACATTTATCCATCCACTCACTCATCCATCCATCCATCCACTCACTCCTATATTTATCTATCCACTCGCTCATGCATTCAGACATCAATCCACTCTCTCATCCATCTATCTAGCTATCCATCCATCCACTCACTCGCTCAATCGCTCACTCACTCATCCATCCACTTACCCATCCATCCATCCATCCATCCATCCATGTACTCACTCATACATTTATCCATCCACTCACTCATCTATCCGTTCATTCATCCACCTAGCCATCCACTGATGCATTTTTCCATCCATTTGCCCATCCATCCACCCATCCATCAATCCACCACTCATCCATTTATCTATCCACTTGCCCATCGAGCCACTCACTCACCCACTCATCCAATCAATTTTTCATCCATCCATTTATACGCTCACCCATCCATCCATTCATCCAATACGATGAAAATACTACATTGTATCTAATCAAATGAATTGGTTTATGCAGATCTGAACAGAAATCTGTTTCATCCATCCGTCTATCCATCCACCCATCCAGCAGTCAGTAAGAGCTTTATCCTGGGAGCACTGAGCACAATGTAGTGATGCACCCTGAATGGGAGGAACTGTGGTCACATGTAAAAGTATACCTGATATGCCTTGTTGAGATTTAATATTACAGTTAAAGATGGCACAGGCTGTGTTAGAAAAAGGGCAGGCAGTGTTTTGGTTTTTAGCCCATAGCGATTAATACATACACTTAGAAAATGTGAAATCTGCTAAATCTGTTCCAAGTTCAAGTTTTGTGAATACTCTGAATTCCGTCATGACCAGCTCTGTGAGTGCATTTGGTCCAGCTGGTTCCTCGTCACGATACAAGCCCACTCGGGCCATTTTTGTGGCTGGCTGTCACGGCTAGTTTAGAGTCTGACAGTGGTGCTTCAACTCCTGGGTCATTATCAGCCAGTAAAAACATCACACACGGTGCTGTAGACATCACATCTTCCATCCAAAGAAGCCCAGTCTTTGAGCTATAAGTAGGGCTCTGTTGATGGACATGAGCTTCCACGCTGCTCGCTCTCAGTTCCAGAATCAGATTCGTAATTGATGGACTGTTTATAGCTGTTTGCATGTCCTAACTATGGAAAAATATGACTAGCTGACTACTTTTTTAATTACTGGTTGATTATTTATGGAGTTTGAGACGGTACACAAAGCTCTTCTAAATGACGAGTAAAAAGAGCCAGACGATGAGCCAGTCCTGCTGCAAAGAGGCAAATGAGCCATACTGTTTATTTCCTAATCGCAAAAATCTCCATAATCTCCGAGTAAAGATTTCAGTGATCCTCCAGCTGCTCTTCCAACTTCTCATCCTCTTTCTTCCTTCGTTGAGAAGACGGTTAGCAAGTAATGCATTTTAATTAAGATGAGGGGAGGAGGGCTGCTAAGAAGAGACACTTAACACAAGACAAAATTTCCTGAAAATAATACAATAGAGGACATTTGTAGAATACTTAGCAAAGAAAAGATGATTTCGGTCAGTCATGTCGCACAGCAGCCTGTGTAAGTGGCGATAAGCTAGATGGAGCAGGAAAGTAGGTGAGTGAAGTGGGGTAAGGAGGGGAACTTTTTATCCTGGGTATTAAAATAGAACAGCGGACGTAGGCTTTGTGGTGTTGTGCACCGAGTACGCTCTGAAAGACGCTCCCTCAGGGTCCCACTTAGTGACGTAGCTTAGAGAGAAGAGTGCAAACCCCAGGCAGTGTTCTCTCTGTCTTACTGAATACACTTTATATATAAATAAAGAATGACCTCTGAAAGGAGCTGAATTGGACAGTTGTGGTGGTGTTTTCACTGACATTTTAGCATGTAGATGTTTAGATCTGCAGGGTGTAACACACAAAGCAGCTCGTGAAGTCGACTCCGTGGCTTTAAGCTGCAGACATTTGTATTATCACTGAGCCAACCAGAGCAATGCACAATCAGCTGAATGTAAACGTTTGTATACCCTTCTTTCGAAATGGTGAAACTAACAGGACAATTAATGCGAGATTAAACATCTCAGACGTTTACTTGCTTACTAAAACACAAACGATCGTAATGTTTAAGTAAGTAAAGTGCATTTTATTTATTATTTGGAAGGGCCAGAGAAGTTTGTTTATTAATTAAAGAACTCTGTTAGCCATCCAGCTCAGAACATCCCTGATGCACGCTTTGAGACTCTCTTAGTGAGAACAGATTATTGGGTTTTAAAAGGAGATAGATCCGAGTATCATCGGCATAACAGTTAAAGAGACGATATAACAGTAAAACAGATAATGTTTCCCAATGGATGCGTGAACCTTGAGGGGGGGAAAAAAAAAAACGTGCTCTAATATAAATCCTTGAGAAACACTACAGTCAGTGGGAGCAATAGATGAACAGAAGTTTTTGATGTTGACTGAGAACATGGTGTGACTGAGGCAGGACCTCAGGTGTTGAGAATATTATGATCTGAGATGTCAGACGCCTTTAACAAGCAGGATTCTGCTATGAAAGACATTAAAACCACACTGGAAAGTTTCAAAAGTCTCATTTCTCTTCGAATTCTCTTCGAGTAAAGATCAGAGAGAGTTACATTTTCCAAGGTATCTTTGATATCGGACAAAAATTGCTAAGAATCTTTAGATTATTATTATTTTTTTTTTT